TGTATGATTAGGGATAATAATATATATTTCAAAAATCGCAAGTATGTATGATACAATGTATGAACATGATTAGGACAAGAAAATATGATCCGAACGCATTTTTTAACTTTTGGTATTTGTATGGAACATTTCGGTATAGATTTTATAGTTGTTGTAGGTCTCTTGTGATAGTTGATTGGCACTAAATGTGGATATGAGACCAGAGTGAGCGAGGCCACAAGTTGACCTTGATCTCACACTTGAACTCGACTATTATTAATTATATGTACGGGTAGTCGGGTACCCCTCCTCTCGACCTCGAGTCCTCGGCTCCTCGAGTCCTCGTTGGTGGTGCGAGTCCTCTCGAGAGTCGAGCCTCTCTCTCTGTCCCTCTCGATATACGATAGAGAGGAGTCTCCTTTTATTATTAATTAAATACTGCTGCTAATACTTGTAGCTAAAATAAAAAATGGAGATCAGTTGACTCCAGATTAAGGCAGAGTCTCAGAGAAGGCTAGAAAGCAGCGCAACTGCTGGCAACTATCGAGCTGTTCGAGCGGTTCGAGCGGTTCGAGCCATTCGAGGAGGTAATATTATTACTCCTTTGACTTCGACGAATACAAAAGTACTCCATCGCTTTGTATTATTTTCAATAAAACGGCTTTTATATATGTTATTCACTATTTCTACGCCCGGCGGGAAAATGTGTCGGTTAACGTTTTACCGGCGTTATCAAATAATTTGTAGAATAAAGAAATATCACACACTTTTTCTAATACCAACGATCCATCGAGAGTTCTGATACAATACCGGCTAAAGGCGACAGTCACACTCACTTCATAACTACCACCCACAACATATCCAAGCAGAAATGACACAGTAAAGTCTACAACTATCACTCTCGAATATCAGCCAACATCTCTTTGGTCTACACTCCATACAGATATTCTGTGTTAATTTGTACGTGATCAGATCACAACCCGGCATATAACTGGAGCCGGCATATAACTGGAGCCGGCATATTTTACCGGCGGATGACACTGAAGTGTTAGTATGAGCGCTTTCAACGTAGAAGTCTGGTTGCGGACTATAAACCTACCTGAATATGCCAGGGCATTCGATGAGGAAGGCTATGACCGTCTCGATTCTATCGCTGAACTTGAACTCAGCGACTTGATGGAAATCCCCAACATGAAAAAGGGTCATGCTCGTCTCATCTTGAAAAAAGTTGGTATGTTCCTTTTCAGGGTGGTTTGTTTGATTCCCGTTCCTTTCTCTAACTAGTGTGTTTCTGCTTTGGTTTTGTCAAGTGCTACTTCGCGATGATGTTATTTGAAGGTAGCACGCCGCCATGCTACGCAACCGACGCAAGTCGATTCAACAAAGTGTATAAAAGTATAGACTCCAACCTATTGTGAAGGAGCAGACATTCGAACTTGTAGAAGTGATTTTTTTTGAACAGTTACGGGTCTGGTTAGATTTTAAACACTCTGAAGCCGTCACGCTCTAAACTTTCCCTGCTGAGTATCTGACTACCAGCGTGAGCTTGTATCACCGAAACTAACAAGATCATTCATCAAACTCCAGGTCAATTACGCGTATAAATTGCAGTTACATCAAGCTGTACCTAAATATAGCTTTTGTAAGCTGGACATTGGAAGGTTCGCTAAAAGTTTTTTGGTGTGTGAAATTGCTCGCGCCCGACAATAACGCAAATGTACACTATTTTCTACTTCAGCGGAACTGAATAAAAGACCTACGTCAGGAGCTCCTCCAGCTTTGACAGCAGCACCTACAGCTATGCCAATAGCACCACCAGCCCAAGCACTTGACCCCAATATGTCCGTCCGAAAAAATATAACAACAGCGCCATCGCCCGAAACGGGCGCTGGTGGTATGAGACCCCCAGCACTCCCAGGTAGCACTCCCACTGTGAGTTATCCACCCGGAGTGCCACCCGGGGGAAATGGCAATCCACCTGCAGCAAATGGTCTTAAACAAGACCCAAGCGCACCTCAGGGTCCTCCTATGGGACCACCAAGAGGTAGCAGTTCCGGACCACCCGGACCTCCGCACGGATATGGACCTCCACCTGGTGTGAGACCGCCGCAGTATTTTCAGGGCTACTATCCCTATGGTCCTCAAGGCCATCCTAGACCGCCAAGAGAATCATTGGCGAGGATTGATCAGGTATGTTCCAGCCACATCTGTCAGGAAACTCTCGACGTCTTCTTTGGTATCAGCAATACTATTGTGTCTTCCTTACAGGTCTGTCCTTTCATGCAAGCCCAGTCCCCGTCGTCACCCTACTTGAGAAAAATTTCTGTGAGCCATTGCTATTGATAGAAAGCTATATCTAAATAGTGGAATATACAGTTACTGCTGGTGATATTTGTTATAGATAAAATTATGTATCAGACTTACTATTATCGAAGCTTTGCTTGTTGATAGATTTATTTGTGTCCATAGCTCATGGAAATGTATTGAGGTATTTATTGAGTGCTCTGTGAAAACGGTGAAAACGTCGAAAACTAAAATAGCTGACTTTAACTTTATCGTGGTCGACTTTATTCTTTACGCCCACTTGCTCATGGTTTTGTGATATTGGAAGCATGTATGAACCTAAATGAGTCATTGCGTCGTACTTATAGTATCTGCATGGTAACTTTAACGCCACATCGTGTTTAGTTGTTCTTCGCCCTGGTCAGTTGTGTGTAAAGTTTTGAACTGTCGCAAAATACGCATTTTAAAGATATCTCTCTGAATATTGTAGCGCATGTTATACTTTAGGTTGTAACGTTATTTCATAGTTGCAGAAATGCGAAAATGAATTTATTTTTGAGATCGAATTATTTTTTATATTCATCCAGTTAGTGAGAAGAACTTGCAGGCTATTGAAAAGAACGTTTATTCAATCGGTACATCGCATGCAGTATATAGTGTTTAATACTTGGGGGTCGGTTTGTGCGAGTTTGTTGAGAATGAATCATTTCAATTTGAGATGAAACTACCTCTACATGAGCATGACATTTACAAAATTGACGATTTGCTACACAGCCAAACGGCTCTCCGCACCCAAATACACTCGGACCCCGTCCTACGGGCCCGATGCAACATGGCCCGCGTCCATCTAATGTTTTAGCCCCCCGAGGAAGTACTATGGGACCTCCCCCCAGAACAAGCAGCAGTGCTCAGGGTCCTCGTCCAACCGGACCCAATGGGTCGCCCCCAACGAAAGCTAACGGTGTAGTGCCCGCTTTCGGCAGCGCACCTCAGCCCGTACCAACCGGCCAGCCTGGACCGGGAGCTCCTCCTCCACCCGCCTACTATGGGCCTGGGGTTTACGGTCCTCGTGGCCCACCCAATTCTCTGGGGCACCGACCAACCGGTGGTGGCGGGCCTCCTGGGCGCATGTCTATGGGCAACACATTAGGCCCCCGCCAATCTGGTCCCATGCGACCGTACATGCCCTACGGATATGGTCCACCCCCAGGATCCTATGGGTTTGGACCTGGCCCTTTCGGCCCCTCAGGCCCACAACAAGGGCAAGGACCTCAAGGGCAAGGACCTCCTCCCAGTGGAGGTCCAGGTGTCTCACCAGTCAGCACTGTTCCCGGACCAGGACCGCCACCTATGGCTACAGCCTTGGTCCCTGTCAGCGATGACAAAGCACCTAAAAAGTCCCCTGCGCCGAAGAAAAAGGAAGGAGCTAACATACTCACGGATGGGCCAAGTAAGACAAAGGGGAGCCGGAAAAAGAAGGCAGATGGTGACTTACTCGCACGCACATCGACTAAGAAAACCAAGGTCAGTGGTGCCAGCGATGCCCTCGCTCGTACATCGACCAAGAAAACCAAGACTGGCTCGGTAGGCGATACCAGCAAGGTGACAATTGCGGCTGATGGTACTCCGGTGGTGCCTGAAGTGTCGGTGGATACAAAGGCGAATACCTTAGGTCCTAAGTATTCTACTATACAGCCCAAGCCTATTCCCAAAGGAAGGCCGGGCTTCAATGGTCAGGCAGCACCTGTACCGCTCGATGTCAAGGTATCATATTAGCTTATAGTGAACATTATATGTTGTGTACATGCTGTACTTTTGCTCGGTCTTAGAACCCGCAAACCTCAGTTCCGAGTTTTTATATGGAAACTACATTCTCTTATTCTTATCGTCTCTTACATTTGGGCAGAAAAAGGCTCGCAAGCCTTACACAAAACGTGATCCGAATGCGGCCTCTGCCCACAAGAAGAGCAGTAATAAAAAAACGGTCGATACTGCTGTCAAACCTGCCTCGAAAGCCAAATTAGCAGTTTCGGCCGACAAATCGGTAGCTGAGAGCGCTAAACCAGTTACACCATCTGAAACTGTTCAGAATGTCGTTCATGTCACAAAACCGGGTCCATCTCCATCCATGGAGCCTAAAATATCATCAGTACCTCCTGCTCCATCGCCCCTAGCAATTATTGCGAAAGCTGACGTGAAAGCTGATGTGAAAAGTGACAAGAACCCCGATGAGAAAATCGACAACAGTGACCCCACTGCCGATGGTGAGGAAGAGGATAGTGAGGAAGAGCCCATTCTGGCAATAGGTATGTAAAGCGTATGCGCTCTGTGAATGCTTAATCTATCACCATGTCAAAATGTGTTTGAGTTTATCTGTTTTATTGGATCGATAATCGTCCAATTGTGAACCGACTAATTGTCTGTTTTGAGAAGACCTTCACGCAAACGGTCTGAAGTTAAGTAAACAGATATTGTATAATTGATCAGTGTCGGTTTGAGTTGGATGCATCGCTGTGTGAATACAAGCAGTGTGTTGAGCATGGGTTGAAGCTATGTTAAGTTCTATAATGATGTCTCTGGTACCCATCGTTTATTCGTATGCGCGTTTTATCAACATATTTGTTCTCCTCATTGGAGCCTCTAGAGTTGAACGTGACGTTGTGTTCTGAGGCACATCCACTCTCTCGCATTATTCGACTGTTCTCCACTCATTATGTTACTGCCTTCTCTTCGTTCATGTTTGTATTTTCAACGCATACTATCTATATCTTATTTCATCACGTTCACTCATCAAACAGCTTTTTGTTGTGCATCAAAGGATGCCGAATAGGTTTTCTCGTCACATCGGATTGAGTAACAACTAGATGTGCAATTTTATTTTTATCTCTATCATACTGTAAAGCATCTTACATCGTCAATTCTCTACGCCTTGTTTCAAGGCTCATCGACAAAAGATGAGAAAAGAAGCAAAACGGTTTGCTCATTGTGCGCACGCGGTGATAATGTTGATGACTTGGGTGAACTGGATGGGCCATACCAAAATGCAAGGAAAAGCATGGACGACATATGGGTGCACGAGAACTGCGCAGAATTCACTCCCGAGTTTTATGTGAATGAGGAGAATGTCCCGTGCGGGCTTCCTAGTATCGTAAAGCGGGGTTCCAAGACGGTAAGAATACAATGATTATGTGCATACGAAACGGTTCGTAGTATTATTCTTTGATTATGCTTCGCAACCGATCGATTGGTAGCGATATCACGGTCTTGTCTATGACTCTATTTTATCTGAGCAAGTGGTGTGGCTCATTCCCTTGAGAGGGCGGCGAGCAATCTGCATGCTGTTCTGTTGTGTTAAGAATCGATAGGCTCCAATTCATTCGTGAGCCCTCATTGAGGACACACTCATTCAATTACCATTCGACTTTCAACAGAAATGCAATCATTGTAAGTTGTTTGGCGCAACCATCGGATGTCAGCTCAAATCATGCAAAAAGTCATTCCACTATCCGTGTATCCAAGCCGCCGGGGGTGTCAGGCAAAGGAGGAGTGAAGAGTTTCCTGTGTTTTGTATAACGCACAAGGAATATATAAATAAGGTCCCGTCTGAGAAGGTGGACAAATCAGATAAACCAAAGGTATGATCTTCACCACCATTCTACGAATGTGAACTGTAAGCGGTGAGGCGGCTTTTTATCCCGCAATGTTCATGAAATAAGTACTTTATTATCGGAATTCTATATAAAAGTTGCCATCGTAAATGCGCATGACATACACTATATACAGATTACACCATATACAGTTGATTCGTTATATCGACTACTCATCAATGTATGACGAGGCGGAAAATGAATGCAGGCTGCAGTGCGAAAATTCAATAACACGTACCCTTTCCTCATATTTCCGGAAACGATTCACCACTCGCTTTCATCAGGCAAAACCTGTGACAGCGAAGCGATCAGCAGCTACTTCTAGTAATGCGGACGATAAGCTCAACCCACGACGACTTGGATCAAGGACAAGCGCGCGTAGATCGACATCTGCCACGCCGTCAACGCGTGCCTCAAAACGACATTTATAATCGTGAATAGGTAGTTTCGTGTGACAATGAGAGGCGTATGATAGTTCGCTTGTGGGTCGATTAGTACCGCAACGTGTGAGGCGGCACCAATATGCACAAATGGCTGTCATTGTATACTGCGTTATCGAGTTAATGTATGCTGGTCAATGCACAAGCTTATCGTGCGACCCGTTACTACAAGTACACCAGTATGTATGGTATGCACCGTAACAACTCTGTTGAGAACCTCCCAACAAACCCCCCCCCCCCCCCCTCGTCTGGTGGAGGCATCCTCGTGGATACTAGGAGGTTTGCAGGTCACGCACCAAACATCGGGATCTCTAAATTTAGCATTTGCTTGTCTCGCACCCTGCTCACGTAAAATATGGATTGGTCCAAATTGAAGCGAGCCGAGACTGAAATTTGCACATGAATGCACAATGTACGAAATAGCCTCGTAAGTTTTATTACACCGGGAGTGGAGATGGGAGCATTCCTTCTTCCTTTTATGCTGCATGGAAAAGCATTATACCAGGAAAGACAATAAATTCGAAACAGCTATATGTCTGGGAATTTGTTATTTCGGAATAAGAATATGCTTCTTCGATGTGTTTGTGCAACCTCGTGTTATCTACTTCTCAATTTCAATGATAAAGTTAAACACATTGATACCTAACACCCTTGGAAAATCGAATCGTGAGGCGAAATTCACACTAGTCGTTTTGGTGTCTGACTTTCAAGCGCAGGGTAGTAGTGTCGTTGCGTCAAGAACGGTACGAGAGTACCGGATCAGTCTAGACCACGGTCTCGGCTCACAAGGGCTGGCTGATTTGATTTTAGAGGGCGAATGATTTCCACTTGAACTGTAGTAGGTCGTGGATTAGTGCTGTCTAGTCATTGCACACAAGTCTGTGGAGTGGCAGAACATTGAGTACGGGTTCTGCTATGAACGAGCTCCAGCAAGGTATCACTGACTCTAACTTAAATGCTAGTTTTGGTATATACGGCTCGTAAATTTCCATTACATTGCGACAAACCATAAAAAGAAAATAAATGACAGATAAAATCTTGGCCAGTGTACTCTCTTTCGAATATCTTTGTCAAACGGTCGAGCTCAATTTCGAGCTACTCAAAGATGCATATGATTGAACTTGATGTAACATTCTCTATATTTCCGAGGAGACAAATCAGAAGCGTGTTGTCGAACCTGTATTATTATCATGTTAGTTGCAAATTCCAAGAGTGCGTAGGACACCTTTTTACTCGCTGTACTTTTGTAAAAACCGGAATCGAATTATAGGTGGATCTGGATGGATAATAATATGGGCATTCTGACATCAATCTTTGAAGAATCTGAAGTATATGCCCTTCATTGTAGTATTTTGGAGGATACTTGGTTGTTGTCCGACCGACTGCTTTCAAAACATTTTATCACCGGTGTGGTCGGCCTTAAATTACAATAGTGGTAAAATCGACAAGAAAAGTACTAGCAGACATTTCCACTAGTCATTCCAACCCACATCTGTTTGTCGAAGTCTTCACCAGCGTCGTTACAAAAGAGCATTACAAACCAGTGAGACCACACGTAATCTTGACGACATTATACTAATCGACAAATTAAGCAATTCCTCCGCATCCCCACCCCCAACCCCCCGTACTATTACCCGTCTCAATACCAATATACCAAATGAGAGCCAATGTTGAGGGTTCTTTAAATTTATGTGATTCTGCCCAAGAAAGTCAGTGAGTGCACAATCATTCTGTACAAAGGTCGATTAGCCGAGAGAGAGAGAGTGCTGCTGTGACTGTGGACAGTGCTGCTTACCTAACGCAGCATAAGCTGTACTTTACAGGTTACGGTCACGACCAGCGAATGGGCTGTAGCAATAAATTCGCAGCCAATAGACTTCAAGACATTGCCTTTTACCCACGTTAACATTTGTTGAAATAATAGCTTCAAAGTAAAAGTCCCTAAATATATGTTCGTACATATTTAAGAGCCCGCACTGCGAAATACCGACCTATTTTTGAACAAAAAGGCCCGGCAAAACATTTGTACCAGAACTTGATACAAATGAATAATTTGAATAATTTGTGCGATTTTCAACAAAATGTAGACGAATAAATATCGATTTAATGTCTATCAATAGGAAATTTAACAACCAATAATATTGCTAGCTCATAGTAGTTGAAAACACAAATTCTGGAAATAACTTTTAGAATATTTTTTTTTAAATTTGTCACAATCTAATTGAATAACAAAATTTATGCGATTTTTTTAGAATAATTATTATTCTAACTAGTCTTTTCATTAGTATAATGTTATAAATGAGCTTTGATAGCTACTTCATTAACTGATTTTCATTGATCAATACTTATTCTATTTTTACATTTCTGGCTGGTTTTTCCAAAAAAAAATCGATAGTTGACAGGTGTCAAATTATACTTAAAAAAATAATAATATACATTTGCAGAAGTACTAGTAGAAGCCATATCGCAGTAGTAGTAGAATTCATATTGCAAAAGTAGTAGCAGAATTCATATTGCAGAAGTAGTAGTCGAATTCATATTCCAAAAGTAGTAGAAGTCAAATAGAGAAGTAGTAATAGTAAAGACTGTACAAATTCTACATTTATTCTTGCTTTGATTGTAAATGAATACCTTGTTTAGACGAGCGAATGTATATATATACAGTGAATAAAATTCAAAACCATGACTGATGATTACCTATCATCGCCTACCTTGGCGGACATTGTTGAAGTTATCGATGAATCACGACAACTGATCAGTGATTTAACAAAAGTAGTTGACGATGAAATGTAGGCCAACCCTACGCGTGAAAAAGGACAGCTATCGCCAGACGAAGTAGATGTTGTAGTAGACGCAGAAGATGTAGGTGACGAAGTAGATGTAGTAGACGAAGTAGATGAAGTACAAGCAAAAACCCCTGAGCCCAAACTTAAGTTTAAGGGGCGAGCAAAGGTTGATGGAGAGCGTACTAGAACTAGCATACGTATAGGCGAAAATACGCCAGATCTATTGAAAAAGGACATTCGATATTTAGATACGAGAGTAAAG